GGTTACAAGAGATATCAGTTAAATTATTCATACACAAATTAAACGACATTCATGCAATTAGACCGACAAGAATCTAGTCATACATCATGATTAACCCCTTCATCAACCCCAAATCCCTAATTAAACTACTCACGCCTCATAATTGACGAATCAAAAGAATTGGGATGAATAGAATTAATTGTCATTAATTAAAGAATTGAAACTTACAAAGAATCTCAGGGTCTTGAACAAAATAGCGGAAAAAATACTGTAAAACACGTCCCTAAGCTTCTCTCTAGGTTTTCGAACCTCAAAACGGGGTTAGGAAGGCCTTATTTATAGAAAACAATGAGTTTGGGTCGAAAAAGGACAGATCCGCGGTACGCACGGAGCCTACGCACGGCGTGCGTTGCTGCCGTGCGTCCGACGGACCTGCGCGTGAAAATAGGCAACGCACGGAGTGCGTTCCCCTACACACGTCCGTGCGTTGCTGCCAGTAGCTTCTCGAAATTTTAATGCTTTGAACGCACGGCGTGCGTTCCCGGACGCACGGCCGTGCGTTGCTGCCAGTAGCCTTTCGTCGTTTTAACGCCTTGAACGCACGGCGTGCGTACCCGGACGCACGGCCGTGCGTTGCTCATTACTTTTCTTGGCCGCTACTGCCACGCACGCACGCCGTGCGTCCCTGTACGCACGGCCGTGCGTGGCCTTTCTTCTTCATTTTTCTTCGATTTCTTCCGTTTTAAGCCTCCGTTTGACCATTCGATCGATCCAATAGCTCTTTCTTCATCAGAATTTCGTCGTGAATCTCCCGGTGACCTCCAAATCTTCCAAATCTTTCTCGAATGTCTTCAAATCCTTCCCGAATGCCTCTCAAGCGCCGATTGCCGGACTCTAACTTCTTCAAATCAACTTCAAATGCAATGAAACTCGATCCAACGCCTGCTAAACACAACTTAAGCCAAAATTGAGACTTGCAACGCCTTAAAGCTAGGAAAATCATCAAAATCCAACCCGGACACGCATCAAATGCGTGTCTAAATATGGACTTATCAGCAGCTTTCATGATAAACATTTTATCTGATGAAACATCATAAGTTGGTGTCCCAACGGCCCACAGTTCTTTCATCTCCTCAATAAGGGGTTGAAGATAAATGTCTATCTTTCGCCCAGGATCCTTGGAACCCGGACAAATTAAAGACAAAAAGATGAAATGACTTTTCATGCACATGTCGGGAGGTAGATTGTAAGGAGTTAACATGACCGGCCAACATGAATAGTTCTTGCCAAACCTGCCAAAAGGAGCAAATCCATCTGAGCACAATCCCAGCCGCACATTTCGTGGCTCCATAGCAAACTGAGGATGACAGCGGTCAAAGTGTCTCGACCACAGAACTTGCAGAACTCAAGTGCCTCATCCTCCTTCCAGAACAACATACATCCTTCCGGGCACGCATCAATTTCAACACAAGGTAGCCCCAACTTAGACATTAACTGCTTCATGTGGTAATATGAATCGGGAAGGGTATGATCTCGCGGTAGCATCCCTCCTACTGACTGCAAGACTCTATTCATGCAAGTTTCAGGGAGACTGTATTCGGCTTTTATGTTCGTGAACTCAGTAACAGCAGATAGCTGAGAGTATCCCTCACAATCAGCATACAGAGGTTGGTCGGCAGCTTTTAGAACATCCTGAAATCTCTCAGCCAAACCTTCATCCACATAAGGTTGATAAAATGTCGGATTTTCATCCGCATCTGGTTGATACGAGGTTGAGGCTTCAGGGTGGTCGTTAGGTGGTTGTGGGGGGTTCAACTGAGACGGTACACCGTATGCGTCATATACCATTTGTTGGTCCCACCTCATTTCAGCACGGTCTCCCCACGCACTCATCTCTGGAGGGACGTAACGAGACGAACCTACCGTTTGTGGTATAACAGATGGATCCAAAGGTTCGCCGTGAGAAGTCCAATTATAATAATTGGGAACAAAACCGACCGCGTACAAATCATACCCAACTTCGTGTGGGTCTTTAAATTTGAGATTTTTACACTTTGAACATGGACATCTTATTTTATCACCACTCATATAAGCCGGATGTTCAAGTGCAAATTCAATAAATTCCCCGACTCCCTCGAGAAAATTTGATTGCATTCCGTACAATACCGCATCTTTATCATACATCCAACTTCTATTTTGTTTATACATTATGCCTGAATATTATAATAAAAAATTATATGAAATGCAATGCACACAATTTTAAGTAATTTATTTCACTAAATATAATCAACTAATGTTCACTAAATTAAATGAAATGCACAGAATTCACAACAATAATGCACAAAATATACGTCCCCTTATGCACAATAATGCACATAATTTCACTAAATTAAACATACGTTTAATTAAATTTAACTAATTCATTTAGTTAAATTTAACTAAATTTAACTAGTTCATTCCGTCCCCTTTTAGTGCATCACTACGTATAAACCTACGTTTAGCTAACTAATTTAACTTAATTAACACATCAATAGCTACGTTCAAACTTAACCTACGTTTAGCAAACGAATTTGAATTAAATTATTTTTGTAAACCTACGTTTAAACCTACACTAAATTATTACGTTAATGACATTTAATCTTATTAGTAATACACAATTAACAATTCACTAAATTAAATAATATGACCAAATTCAACCCAATAATTTGAACATGTATATAAAGTCATTTGAATTAATAAGCAATACACAATTCACAATAACAATTCACAATTCACTTAATTAACACATTACTAACGTACGTTATTTGAACTAATTTCACTTAACATTAACATCATTACGTTTTAAACTACACTTAGCTAACTAATTTTAAATAAATTATTTTATAAACCTAAAAGTTTAACTAATTCTAATTTATGACATTACTACGCTTATAGTTAAAACATGTTGTTAATTAATTAACAACCTCACTAATTTAATAGTTTTAATAATTTAAATAGAACCAACTAATTCTAAATAAAAATTATAATTCAAATAACATACCTTATCTGCATAAACAGGGAAAATGATAGAAGATAGACTACATCCTTCGATCTTTCAAACGGATACTGTATATACTGGGAATGAATTGGTGTGGTTCTGTTCAATGAGCTGCTCCTGCATATATAAAAAATTTAGTCATGGACTTAGTCACGGATGTGTCCGTCACTAAGCAAAACCGTGTCCAATACGCGTCCAACACGTGTTAATGACGTGTAAATGACGTGTTAATCAAAGTAGTCACGGAACTAGTCACGGCCATGTCCGTGACTAAAGTTATCTGTACATAATACCGTTGCGAATTAAGTTAAGGGAGGTGAAAAAATTAAATTTTAATCATAGTCACGGGTATAGTCACGGATGTGGCCGTGACTAAGACGTCGGAATCAAATAAACTTCGTCGGAAACGGAAACGGGCCTATCGGAGGACTTAAGTCACGGGCCAAGACCGTGACTAATTGTAGTCACGGCCATAGTCACGGTCAAGACCGTGACTATTTTTTTTTTTAAATTTCCGTGACTAGTCCGTGACTAGTCCGTGACTAAACTAGTCACGGACCAAATCCGTGACTACGGTCCGTGACTAAACGCGTGTTTTTTTGTAGTGTTTCCAATTCCTGTCCGATTCTAAGTACTCGGCCAGTCCTGATTCCGAACCCGGTTCCATTAATCTTTTTTTTTTCGGTTCCAAGGGTTCAGGGTTTAATCTGTTCAAAATGTTAATGTGGGGATATCAGTATTAGAGCCAGTCATTTGAAAATGTGGTGATATTATTATGATGATTGGTCTTCATCCATGGGCAGTTTTACAATACTAGATTGACAAACTCCACATTAAACGTGTGCACAATTGGCACAAAGATGTCATTACCCATTTTTAATGTTACATTTTATCTTAAGTAAAATTTAGAACTTTTTAATTCAAACTAAAAGACGAACATTATCCATTTATTTAGAAAAAATTGTAAATTAAATAAAATAGCTTTTCTATCCCGTGCAACGCACCGGTAAAAAATCTAGTAGTTATTTTAATGGGAAATGACAAATTATTTTGAAACAATCAAAAAGGAAAAGTTGACAAAGTCTTGTGGAACAAAGAAGTATTTGAAAGCACGTATCCCCTGTTTACTACTACGTAATAAATACTCCGTAGTATATTTTTATTTGTCCAGAAAATTGGAAAGGTGGAGAACAAAAACTAAAAAGGTGTTTATTTTATTTTCTCCTTAAGTTGGAAAAGCCACTTACTGTGTTTTTCAAAATGAAATTACGCAATGTTATGGTACGTCAGGTATTTGTTTCATGTTCGGGTATCCGATCGAGTTTTTTTTTTTAGAAAGTTCCCGAAATAGGACTAAAACAGTTTGGAAATTCCAAAATAGAACTGTCATGTTTTTTATTCCCAAAATAGGAGTAATTACTGCCAAGTTTGGAAAATACTGTCATGTTTGAAGTCTGGTACTGCCAAAACATGATAGTAGTTAGTCCTATTTTAGGAATAAAAACATGGAAGTCCTATTTTGGGTAATATCTCATTTTTCTTTGTGCTAATTCGATCGAATTTTTTTAATCACATATTTTTTCAAGATCTATATAGCGGTGTGTTAATGGAATAATGGGTCTATTTTATTTGATAAATTAGGGAAAACAATTTTCGGCCAAACGTACGTGAACTAGATCTACATAAAAAATCTCACTCCGTTGCATAAAATTCGGCCATCAGACTTTCTGGATCAACGAAGATAACTTTGGGAAATGATTTCAATTAATATATGAGATATTTGTCCCTAGTATGACTAGAAGTCCTTAAGTTTCTCTAAATATGACCTCCCAGTTTTTTTTCCTAATTTATGTTACCCGAAACATAGATCATAAGCATCCCATCCGCTGAATTTTTTATTATTCCATCCCTACCCTTCAGTCAACGCATCTTTATACCAATTCTGTTTAAGAATTTATTTCAAAATCTTCTAAATTAGGTAACCGTTTTTCATTCCTATTCGCTCTCGTCTTCAACCTTCCTTCTCTTCAGCTTGTTTCGATGAATTCTAATTAATTCTTCGCTTCTTCTATTCATTCTTCCTGTTTCGGAGATTATGGAAATTGTTTCTTCTCCAAATCCTTCTCCAATCATACATGTCTTGATGAACGTAGATGGCCAGTGGTTGTCCGACATTCAATTTCAGAGCGCAACCTCCATCGCCATTGAAATTCCTTTCTGTTGCAAGTGGATTGAATTTTGTGGAATTGTATACAATTCGTTGGGCCTAAGAGATCCTGTTCGTGCTATACGTATTTCATATGTGTTTCAAGCATGTCCTCCACCGCTTATCATCAATGACGATTCCAGCTTCAGTTTTTATCTTCAGATGAAAAGCATTCAATCGGACTTAAACCAACTTCCTCTTTGTGTAGAGTTTGTTCCACCGTTTCAAGGTTAGTCAAATATTTCTCCCCTAGTTTTATCTTTCACTTGCAATTTAACTATATAAATTTAGTTTTCAAATTATATGTATTATCTGTAATTTTTTTTTTTTGATTTCGAAGGATGTACTGAAAGTGTGTCAAACACGATTAATTACTCTTTTTCGGATGATGAAGTTTTGGATGGTTTTGAGGATTCTGAAATATTAGCAGCAACAGACCAACAAACAATGCACTGTAGTGATGTTTTGGAGGATTCTGATTTCAGCCCTTTGTCTTTTGATGAAGATGTTATGAATGATGACTTCATATCTTCGGTTGAGGTTCCTCTGTGTTCTGTTGTTCCCCACTTTGACCCCACCCGTCTTGCTCTGGACGCAATATATGAAAGCAAGAAGGATTTTAGTTTTAACTTGAAGATGTATGCAATAACTAATTTTTTCCAATACCGAACAAAGTCATCTTCTCCTAAGGTGTTACATGTTATTTGTGTGGATCCTGCTTGTCTGTGGGCTGTTCGTGGAGTTCTCTTGGATGAAAGTGGCTTGTTTCAAGTGCGTAGGTTAGTGATTTCTTTTCTTTGGTTATGTATTTGTTTTAGTCATCTTCTCCTACATTTTTTGCTTACTGTTTACATTACATTATTTAATGCAATGTTATTGCACTTCTTAGCTGCAGCTAATGACAATATTTGGACCTTATATGTTGTTTTTTACTTGAACATCCATGTGAAGTTGCATATTTTTTATGCAGTTTGTTGTGACTATCTGCATTAAATCATACACTGCAATTACTCAATAAATTATATCATTTTTACATTTCTATTTCTGTATTGAAATTGTTTAGTTATGTTGTTTTTTCACTTTCACTTTGCCAGGCTTTTGAAGTTCCATATTTTCGTTGTAGTTAGTTGTCATTATTTGGACAAAATTTATGCATCTCAGTTAATGCGTCATTACATGCTGTTAATGCCATCTGTACTTCTTCATTTTCAGATTTGATAATGACCATACTTGTCCCATTGATATTAGACAAGCTAATAGTCGCCAAGCTTCTTCCTCTCTTATTGCTGAACTGATCAAGCATGAATTTGATGACTTGTCCAAAAGAGCTTACACACCTCATTCAATCATGAGAGATATGAAAAGATTGCATGGAATTGTCATGTCATATAAAAAGGCTTGGGTTGCAAGGGAAATTGCATTGAAATTGGCTCGGGGATCTGAGAAGGAGTCGTACAATAGACTTCCTTCTTTGTGCTACATGCTTGATAAAGCAAATCCTGATTCGATTGTTTCATATTCTTGTACTGAAACTGGAGAATTTCAGAACTTTTTTATGTCTCTTGGTCCATGGAGACGTGGATGGGAGAAGTGCATTCCAGTTATTATTGTTGATGGATCGTTTTTGAAATCGTATTACAAGGGAACACTACTCACGGCCTGCACACAAGATGCTAACAAGCAGATTTTTCCACTTGCATTTGCTATTTGCAGTGTTGAAAATACTGATAACTGGACTTGGTTTTTCAACATGTTGAAGAATTGTCTCAACCATAGAAATGGTTTGTATATCGTGTCTGATCGGCATGAAGGAATTATAAATGCCGTTCATTCTGTCTTTCCATATGCGGAACATGGATATTGTGTTTATCACATATTAGGCAATATAAAATCCAAGTTTAAAGGTTCTGCAAAGGTGTTGTCTTGGAAATTCTTACAAGCAGCGAGAGCGGGTTCTGTTTATGAATGTGAAGAGTATCTTTCCAGGCTTGATTATGATGACCCGCGTATACGTACGTACTTGCAAAAGATTGGTAATGAGAAGTGGTCTCGTGCATATGCTAGCCGCAACCGTTATTCTGTGATGATGTCTAACAATGCGGAGTCTTTGAATGCTGTTTTTGTCACGGCTCGTGAGTATCCCATCTGCAAGTTGATTGAGTTTATAGTACGCACAATGCAAACATGGTTCTGTGAACGCAGAGAAGAAGCTGCATCAAACAGATCTCGACTCTCTGCTTACTTTGAGGCGCAATTACGGCTATCGCAATCAAATGCTGCATTAATGCAGGTACTTTACTGCATTCATACTGTATTGCATTTTGGTTTTTTATTTTTGTATGAAATGATCAGGTTCTGCTTTATGTTACCAGTTCTATGTTTTTGTATTTTTTTATAGGTCAAGCCATCATGTATCTTTGAATTTGAGGTCTTTGATGTGAAAGGAAGATCATATGTTGTCAATTTAAGAGAAGGGACTTGTACATGCCGTGAATTTGAACTTGATGGCTTCATATGTGTTCATGCCATCGCTGCAATCCGTTCTCGTCCGGGACTTTCTGCTTATGACTACATTCCTGAATATTATACTACACAGAAATGGTTTTCAGCTTACGAGGGCATCATTCATCCCATCGGTAGTCCCGATTGTTGGTTTGTTCCCCATGACGTATCACAAATCATTTGCAGCCCTCCATCTTGTTCTAAGAGACCTCCTGGAAGACCCAAGAAGCGACGTATTCCATCTACCGGTGAACATGTGCGTCGACAAAAGTGTACACGTTGCTCAATGGTTGGTCACAATAGGAAGACATGCCGAAACCCCATTCCTCGCACTCGCTCCTAATGTTGAATATTTTTTACTTGTTTAGTTTTACTCTTGAGTTACGCTTTATATTTTTCCCACTTCTAGTCAATTGTATTCAGGTTAGAATGGATACATATGTTCTGCTACTAATTTCACTCTTTGAATAAAGTTTGTAGTTACGGATTGCAGTAATACATGCAGTTTCTTTCTGCATTGATGTCCATAAATGCAAATGTTAACTCTCAGTTACGTGTTTATGTATTCAATCAAAATAAGTGGGTGTGTAACTATACACATGTTCTTTTGATTATATGTGTCATTGAATAAATTATTGATTTCCCCTCTTCTTTTGATGGATTGCAGTATGCATCTGCATTGAATACCATTTTTTATAAATGATAGCTCTCTTTGGCAATCAAATATGGTAACTGATCTTGTATTATATATTAACTTTGAGTTGAATAATCATATTCATATACTAAGAGTCTATTTGATAACCTTGGTTTGGACTTATCAGTTTTATCATGCGTTCTTTATCAAATAGATAAATATTCTATTCTTTACATGTATGGTTGAAAGAAAAGATTTTTAAAAAATAAATATATCTAACATGCTAAAACTAAATTTCATTACTACAATGTTATTTTCATTAAATGAATGTATTTATTTGTTTACCTCACATTAACTATTACCAAATGTCCTAAGTATGTGCATTAATGTTATGCCTTCCACTACAGCATTACATCACTATAAACAATTTGTGAACCCTTAATTGTGGAAACAGTGGCATTGCATATTAACCACACTTTTCAATGCAAAACATTCATTACTTCAAAATCAATCTTATGTTCATTCCAAACCAAAACCATACTAATTCGTAATACACCCAAATTTCAGTTTCATCAAAATAAAGCAAATCAACCAACAAAAACCATATTAATTCTTAGTACAACCAAGCTTTAGCTTAATCAGGATAAAGCAGACCAACAAAAACCAAATTTCACTTCATTACATATTTCTCAAACACATTCATTCAATGCCATCGACAGTCACCAGTCCATTGTAATGCAAGATCTCAGTCACTAGCTTCTTCCTATAAGTCCACATGTCCCTGGAATTCACTTCTTTAGGATCTCTTCCCATCATTAAGTACTCAGCCATTTTAAGAACAAATAGCCCACAACTATCCCTGCACATTTGAAATAATTTACAATGTTAATTATGTATCATTACACATATTATTTGTAAGTAATTTAATGCACTTACCCATCATTTTGTTGTGGACTAGATACCATAACCCATCCCAGTTTCCCATCTCCAATTGGCTGTTCACCACGCTCTTCGTACACCCTGCACCAATCCATTAGTTTTCCTAAATGAATTTCAAAAGAGGGCAAAAACTCACTCAATTTTCTACTTGGTGTTCCAAGGCGGCTATTGGAGTCATAAATTCTAATACGCTTTTCTTCCACATCAAGCACAAGTAGAACCCAGTGATTGCCGATATTCATCGGCATGTAGACATGCTCACACTCTGCCCATGGTAGGCCGTAAGGCACATTTGTCCCAAGTATTGCTCCCACGATACTTTTGTTGTGTACAGATTCTTCTAGGGTGCTTTCATTCCTCATAATCAGCTCATGGTGTTGTTTCACCAGTGCCGTGAAATAACAGTCCGTTGTGGTGAACTTCTGCTTCAGGGAGTATTCTTGTGCTTTGACTCGCAGGTAGTATAGTACGACATCAATGTGCTGTGTAATTGAAATCATGATAAGTAGTATTAATACTCAATCTCAACATTGTTTAAAAATTAATAAAGAAAATAGATATACTTACTGTGTCTTTTATCCAATTCCCCTGAAACCATATGGCGTAGTACCATGACTTGCTTGTCAGTCTTCCATCATTCCACAACGGTGTCATGTTTCTCAATTTCAGCATTTCATGTTTTGCATTATATTTCTTCACGCCAGACTTTTCGTGATTTTTTAGTAGCCCTGCATACATGAAATTAATTATAATTTCTTGCAACTTATCACTTGGCTGCTGTTTTGGGTCTAATGTCAGAGGCCCTCTCACTACTGCCTTTTTTAGCCCATTTCTTGCAGCATCCTTCTTCCTTCTTTTCCCGTTTCCGGGCCCAGACAAAGACAACCTGTTTGGTGCTTTAGTATCTCTCCTTGGCCTTTTCTCAACGCCTTCAAATGCACCGTCATTCATCTAAATTATAATATGAATTACTTAAAACATAATTTACCAGAATACTAGTAATACATTAAATCTGCAGAAGCTTACATGCATGTAATTACAATTTATTATCAGCATATTTTGACAAATAATATACCTCAACCCCATCCTTCTTTTGGAGATCATCACATTTCTCACCGTTTGGTTGCTTAGTCATCACGACTTCGACTCTCTCTGCTTCAGCACTTTTTACCTAAAGTTTAATACAAATTAATTAAATAATATTACTACAATATAGCAATAGCAAAATAGGAAAAATGTAACTGCATTTGATTAAAACATACCCCATTCTTCTGGATATCTTCACAGTTTTGAACGACCGGAACCTCAATGTTCGCTGCATCCACGGCTTCAGTTCCTTTTGATGTATTGTCAACTTTGTTATTAACAATCATATTTTCCAATATTTCATCCACTGCATTAACCAATACTTGGGTATTGATTGGATCTTCAAATCCATCTCCCCAGTCTGTCTGCACTTCAGATGCTGCCATTTCATCCTTTGTTCCATTTCTATCTTCGGTCTCTTCAGCTTTGTCATTACTCTTCTCGTGCTCCGCTTCATGTAGCTCTTCACTTTTCTGTTCTTCATCGTCTTCACTTCCATTGTTGAACTCTGGTGCAAGTTCAAATGATGGAATGTCCACATCTCTGACTTCTTTTCTTTTCCTGATCAAGGGAAACCTTCTACTTACAGCAACCTTTCCATTTTTTGCATTCACCAACAGCTTTTTAATCATGCTTGCATGCTTCACTTGTAATTCACAGAGTTTGGTAACTGCCCTCTCAACTTTCTCAATTCTTTCACCCTGTGCTCTCACTTCTCTTAAAATATTCTTGATTCCCCTTTGTCTTATTTTCTTCCCTTCGCTATCTTCACCAGATGGATCTTCATCTTCATCAACATCATCCTTTTTGTTTTTTCTCCTCTTTACACTCCCCTTCCGAACTTTACAACTGCCATTTGTAGCCTTTCTTCTTGCTTTCTTGACTGGCTGTGAAGAAGCTTCTTCACTGCTTATTTTCTCCAAAGCATGTGCAACACATGTCTCTTCTAACTCCTCCTCTGTTGGTTTCATCTCTTCCCATTGAAACTGCAAATTCCAGATTTTCATTTCAATTAATGACCACACATCATAATCACCAAAATGCATTAAACATAATCAACATGTATCACAACCATTATAAAATACATATGGATAAAAATTTTTACCTCTGGATTATTGAAAATAATCTCTGCAAGAACCACAGATGATGGCTTTGATGTGACAGACCAATTCAATGTCCTTGGCCAGTAAGTTTCAGGCCTTTTCAAGCACACTCTCGCTCTGTTCAGTTCAGGAAAAGTCTCAAAACCCCATATTTGCAGGGCAAATACATATCCAGGGAATGTCACCCTAGTGCTCTTTCCCTCCCCCAATATTGCTGCACACTTCGGAACCTTATCAACCAAATCAGACCACACGATATCACCCCATGGAAACTTATTGAATGCATCAAGGTCATCTACCAGGTTGATGTAAGTTGTAGGCACTTTGAGTGATTTCTGGTTACCTAGTATGTAGTTGCCAAGAACATGCAACAATGCTAACTTCACCGCATCTAATGGTTGCATGTCTTCTCTTCTATTATTAATGGATTCAAACGCTTGCCGTAGGTCTCCCCGGTCAAGACTTGTCTTTCCACTAAAGTGCCTTCTCCACAGTTCCCCATCGCAACGAGTACTCATAGCTGGTATGTTTCTCCCAAACTCAAATCCTGTTATCAAGGCTAGGTCTTTTTTCTTCATTCCTACTACTCTTTCTCCAATTTGAAACTGAATTTCATTCATAACAGTCATCTCTTCCACAGGTGCGACATGATTTCCTATCAGCATGGATATCAGTTGTGCATTTAACCATTTCAGATTTCCTACATCTAACATGTATCCAAATACGGTCTCCCTAAACAGTTTCATTTCTTCTTCAGTCAATACACTCTTAATACTTTCAACAGCCTTCACTGGATTGCAGAAACTACTAACTCTCATGTCGTCTCTTGTCTCCAGAACTTCAGCATTACAGTAGCGCTTATATGCCTAGGACAATATACATAAATACAAGTTAACACCTCCAATAATGAAACTACAAAATGTTTTTTGAATTACTTAATATAATTAAAGATCCACAATAACTGCATATCATGTTTTCATTCTTACTGCAGGTTCCAAGTAACACCACACACTACTAAGTTCCCTTAAAAAACCTTAAAATTTACATATACTCTAAGATGTAACAAAAATACCACATGCTAACACTACATGCAATGATATATCACACTAAAATAAATAATAGAGTTCAATGCACTAACTTACTTAGCTCAGTTTTCAACTTCCCCAATGCACAAATGTAGTTAGTCAGTTTACAATTTCAACAAAAAACAATTCAATTACATGCAGTGAAAGCCATATTTCCAAATGAGTCAACTACAAAGACAATCTACCTTGATTCAAATCACAGATTGAATTGTATCTGATTCGCTGCACAGAGTACTAAGTACCATAATACATTCAACAAATACACGTATTTAGACTGATCTATGACAATAAAACAAACACTATTTCAATCTGCATTTCAATCCACACAATTACTTTTCTGAATTTGAAAATTTCAACATCCAAAAATTAGATTAAGTGTAGTGAAACTCATATTTCAATCTGTATTTCCAAAGTACTCAACAATACACGAACTAAACAACAACAATATACACTCATTTTCAAACAACATCAATGCATGCATTCAAGTCGCATAAGTAATGAATTAGCTCACAGAAATGATCGTTAAAACACTGCATTGAAGCATTAATATGTAATTACTTCACGAACACAAAAAAAATTAAAAAAACTAACCACGCCGTTGATTTTGACGATTTCGTAGTCCAATTCATCGTTGTTTCGTCGAGAGTTC